AGAAGGTACCCTTGTTTCCATGTAATCATGGTTTCAGAAAAATTCTGAACAGAGAGGCGGCACAAAAGGCTCGGGACCGTAAGAAGGACTCAATTAAAATGATGGAACAGTGTATTGCCCAACTGCGGACGGAGAATCGACTCCTCCGCCGTACGAACGTGGCCCTAAGAGAGAAGTGTCGGGACCATGAACAAAAGTTTATTTCCTTGCGGGCGGAACTGGATACACTCACGCAGAGTTTAAGGAGTGGAAAGCGGAAGGAGATCGAGCCTTCAGAGTCAGCAGTACTCTTCCCTCAGCAGCAGGGCGTGGCTCTCTGTCTTCTGATTTTCCTCTCCCTTCCCCTCCTCTGCATGGCCTCCCAGTTCCATCCTTCACCCCAAACAGCCCAGGCCCCGACTTTTTCCTCCCCGAACTTTCACCAATTGAGGTGTCTTCCGAAGTTACAATTCCGCCCCCAGAAACTGTTGAGGTTGATGCCCATGAGGTAGACATTGCCCCCATAATTTCCTCCTCCTCTGTTTATGATCTCATTTACCAATCTTTCTGCGATAGCGAGGGTGCTAGCGACGTCATTCTGAGTCCCTCATCCACTTCGGATGAGAGTCTTGATGACATCCTTCAGTGCCTAGAGGCCGATGGGTATTGTTCTGATGCACTAGAAGGTACGATGCCCCCTCTCACCCCGGAATGTGCCCTCATAAACACCCCCTGATTTTCTTCTAATTTTCACCTTGTAAATAAACCTATCCCTTCATCCGCCAAAATCCTTGTCCGACTGTTCTCATTGCAGGGCCTCGACGAATGCGTGCATCCCGCTAGTATATACAGGACAAAACTGCACAAACTGGTCCTCATTGGTGTAGTGCGCTTGACTGGTGTTCGCTTACTGGCAGCTGCTCGTTAATCATTTACATGATTATGGGCGAGGCTGGAAAGTTTTACAAAATACTCTTTTGAGAGGCCGTTCTTTTCGCGACAGCCATCTGGCCCAAAATGTTTACTGCAGGCCAGAGCCTGACACCGCTACGGAACTTCCGAGCGGACGTGAGCATCGTCCCGGTCTGGGCGTGTAAGGAGCGGACTCGGGAGACACTACGGTTAAAGTGACCCGAAACTGCGTAACTGCTCCGTCTGTTCGTTCACCTGTTTCCACTGGTGGTGGGCATGCCAATGGGCTTTAGTCAAACCCCCATCCAGCTCCTGGCCCGATTTTCGTAGACCCGGAAAGTTTGTTGGATGACACTTATCCAGATCTCCAACAACGTTATTTCAAGTCCTAAGTCCATAGTCGAAACCTTCTTCGAATCACTCAGCATGGCGGAGCCGGTCCGTCTCGTCTACTGTCGCCAAGGATGGGGGAGGCTGGTGCCTCATTCTGTGTGAAGAAGCACTAATTTGTTCTGTGCGGTGAGTCATCTGCATGTTCGACCGTCCGCATAAACGATGTAATTGCGTAAGCCTCCACTGTTGTGGAATTCAGGTTCAAGTGGGTCATTTATGTAAGGGCTGCATCGTGCCAGCGACGTCACGTTAGTCTGTGGTGACTGAACGAGGTGGAGCTCAGGTGCCGCCGCGTCGTGTGATAGGTGCCGACAGGTTAGAAAGGCTGGGGAGTAGACTTGCGAAGCCTTTTCAGTGACGGAAGACAGACTCAAACCGTGGCCAGCAATGACAACCGTACTGCTCAGCCAGGATTTGAAAGGACTCTTATTTACTTTGTCTCAGCCCCCAGCAACCGGCCTGGGCTCCATACTCCCAATGTACGTCATCGACAGGTATGTCAGCTTAATACGCCATCAGAACTGGTTTGCACCCGTGCTTAGAATGTGATTCGATCTTTGAAGGCTTTTCTGGAGATACCCGAGATCTGCATTATGATTTTACAGTGATAGAGAGACGTTCTGGGATTCAGCATCCATGGGTTTGTGTGCTTCACGCCTGTTACGGCATTTTTAATGAATGATTTAGAGATTTTACGCCACAGGCTCGCCGTATCATGAATAATCACCCTTCGGGGCAGTCGATCGTGGACAGACCCCTTAGCGGAGTTGCGCGCGTCTACTCCGCATGCCAGAGCCCAGGGATCCAAATATTTGTTTGAGGTCGGCTTTCGCAACGTCTTCAAATGAGTAAACAAACAGGTACAAGCCTGAGCCGGGTTCGGGTGAAATGACATCCGAACGAATTTGCCATAAGGTCGGTGCAGTAATTGATCAAACAAGCTCGCTCTTTGTACGCACAGAATCCGTCCACCAAGCACTGAAAATGAATGCTGTGTGATTTAATGATCTCGCTCAATATAAACAGGCGTGGCAAGCTGCATTTCAGACTGAATCCGCTCCCCACGAGTTGTATCTCACGGATAATTAAAAATCGGAGATTGAGACAAGCAAATCTCTAATACCATGTATTATATCCGTAAATCTCCTACATGCACCAACATGCTCTCATTGCCAGGTGATGCTCGGAGCATGTAACGGTCTGCTATAAGATTTCAGGATCCACCGCCAAAAAAACCTTCCCAATCATCCATTTCCGCAGGAGCCCACAAGGCAGTCCGTGGAGTAACCGACCGGAACGGAGGACAGTGCTAATAGCTCGGGGACTAGCGCGCCATAAGTTGGACACCGCCGCACTCAGCGAAACCGGGTTCTCCGAACAAGGCCAACAGGAGGATGTGGGTGCCGGCTAGATCCTCTTCTGGGGCGGTCGCCTCAGGGCAGAGGGACGAGACGCGGGTTTCCCCTCGCCATCCGGAACAACATCGTGAGACGAATGGCCTGTCTGCCGCTGGGCATCAACTATCGGCTGATGAGCCTTCGCCTGCCTCTCCGGAAGGACAAATTCGCTACCATCTTCAGAGCCTACGCCCCCCCTTGACGAGCCCCAATGCTGCAAAAGACAATTTCTACGAGGACCTGCAGGCCCACCTGACGAATATGTCAAAGGCGGACAAGTCGTTTGTCCTCGGTGACTTCAAAGCATGCGTCGAAACAGACCATGCAGTCTGGCAAGGAGTGCTAGGTCTCCGTGGTCTCTTCGGCTCCAATAACGACTGCATGTTCCCTTCCTGCACCTTCGCAAAACACCGGCTCATCCTGACGAACACCTTCTTCTGTCTGCCGGAGCGAGAGAAGGCCACCTGGAGGCATCCTCGGTCGCGTCAGTGGCACCTGCTGGACTATGTCCTCGTCCGAAGGCGAGACCAGCGGGACGTACTCGTGGCAAAGGCGGTCGCGGGTGCTGACGGGTGGACCAACCATCGCCTTGTCATCTCGAAGACGCGTATTCACCTACGGCCTCGCAAGAGACCACAAGGTAAGCGACCCTCAGGTAAGCGGAATAATGCCTTGTTATCTTTGCCCGCTCATCATCTTCATTTCAGTCATGAGCTAGCTCGACGGTTAGACAACCTTCCAGTCGCTGCCGCCGCTGCCGCCGCTGCCGCCGCTGCCGCCGCTGCCGCCGCTGCTGACGAGGACGCCTCCGTAAAAAACTGCGGGGCACAGTCCAGTCGATGGCGCTGGCCGTCCTCTGTCGGGCACGCCGCCAACATCATCGACAACGACGCCGCCATTAACAACCTGCTCGCCGAGAAGAACAGCTTACACAAAGCCTACGCAGACCACCCCACCGAAGACAACAGAGCTGCATTCTACTGCAGTCGCCGCCCTATGCAACAGCGACTGCATGAGATGTAGGACGCCTGAACGGCTTGCAAGCCTGAGGAGGTCCAAGGGCACGCAGACCACAACGAGTAGAAGAAATTCTTCTCCGCGATCGAAGCTGCCTACGGTCCGCCGACGAAGGGCACTGCCCCTCTCCTCAATGCCGACGGCAGTACCCTCCCCACCGAGAAGACTCAAATCTTACAGCGATGGGACGAGCATTTTCGAGGCGTCCTCAACCGCCCCTCCATCGCCTCCGACGCCGCCATCGCCCGTTTGCCGCAATTGGAGACCAACTCAGACCTAGACCTCCTGTCCTCTCCCCAGGAAACCAGCAGGGCCGAGCAGCAGCTCTCCAGCGGGAAGGACCGGACGCGATCCCTGCTGAGAACTACAGGCACGGTGGCCTCCAACTCATGGAGCATTCGACGTCGCTCTTCCAGGAGATGTGGCGTCAAGGCGACGTCTCACAAGATTTCAAAGATGCCACTATCGTTCATCCATGGGAGCGGAAAGGAAACCGCCAGCTCTGCGACAATCATCGAGACATCTCCTTACTAAACATCATCGGGAAAATCTTTGCTCGCATCCTCCTCAACCGCCTGAATAATCACCTAGAACAGGGCCTTCTACCCGGAAAGCCAGTAAGGCTTCCGCCGTCATCGCGGGACCACGGATATGATCTTTACCGCCCGTCAACTTCAGGAGATGTGCCAGGAGATGCGGACCCACCTGTACTCTACCTTCCTGGACCTGACGATAGCCTTCGACACGGTGAATCATTAAGGGCTATTGAAGATCATGCGGAAATTCGGCTGCCCCGAGCGATTCATTTAGATGATGCGTCAGCTCCACGACGGTAAGATGGCGCGCGTCATGGACAACGGGGCTGTCTCAGAGGCATTATCGGCGACCAGCGGAATGAAGCAAAGATGCGTGCTGGCGCCTACCCTCTTCAGTCTTATGTTCTCTGCCATGCTGATGGACGCCTACCGCGACGAAAGTCGGGGAATCCGCATCGCCTACAGGACGGGCAGCCACCTCCTCAACCAACGCCGAATGAACTTCCAATCACGCGTATCATCAACCACCGTTCACGAACTCCTCTTCGCCGACGACTTCGCCCTGAACACCACCCCGGAAGAGGACATGCAACGGAGCATGGACCTGTTCTCCGCCGCCTGCAAGAACTTCGGCCTGGTCATTAACACGGATAAAAAGGTGGCCCTGTATCAACCGCCACCAAACGCAGCTACTCTTCACAATGCACCTCGGATCAGCGTGAACGGAACCCACCTGCAAGGGGTGGGCAACTTACCGTACCCGGGCAGTAACCTCTCCCGCGGCACCAAAATTGATGACGAAGTCACCCGCAGGATTTCGAAGGCCAGTCAGACCTTCGGTTGCCTTCAACGTACAGTTTGGAATCGTCATGGTATCCAAATTAGTACGAAGCTGAAGATGCACAATTTCGACATCCTCCCGACGCTGCTGTACGGAGCGAAGACTTGGACGGTGTACATGAAGCAGGCACGCCGACTGAACCATTTCCACCTCAGTTTTCTTCGTCACATCCCGAGGCTGAGGTGGCAGGACCGAATCCCCGACACAGATGTACTGGAACAGACGGGAATTATCAAAATCTACACTATGTTGGGACAACTACAACTGCGTTGGGGCGGCCATCTAGTGCTGATGGAAGACGAGCGGCTACCAAATCGACTCAGGTTCTCACCGGCAAGGAGGCCAAATCCGCCGCTACAAGGATACTCTGAAATCCTCTTTGAAACAACTGCAAACCAGTCCGACCAACTAGGAAGACCCCTCCCGAGACCGACCGACCTGTAGGAGGGCAGTGAAGACAGGCGCTGCGATCTACGAAGCCAAGCGCCAAAGCCAAATGCGAAGCACGCAAATCACAACTGTGCCAACTCGTAATGTCAACGCACAACGGCCTCCAACGTTTTGCCCTGCCGTATTTGCGCAGACGAATGTGACATTCGTTGATGAGAGTCCTTAATAGGCGTCGGACCTACTAGAGAGAAAGTACAACGGAGAGGGGAACGCGTTTAAGAGGAAGCACGCGATGGAACTATCAGACTACTGCCTACGCACGTACTTCACTTTCAATGGTCAAATTTGCGGGCAAGTCCAGGGAACCCCAATGGGGTTCCCGATTTCCGGCTACCTGGCTGAGGCGGTCATGCAAGAACTGGAAGCTCGAGGCTTTCAGTCCTACAAGCCGAAGTTCTGGATGCGCTACGCAGACGAGAGCTTTGTTATCTCACGCCGAGACGCTAAAGACAACTTTAAAAGGAATTGAACTCGATCTTCCCACAAATTCACTTCACACTGGAGGAAGAAGAAGACAGAGTGCCTCCTTTCTTCGACGTTCAGGTAACGAGACAAAAAGACGGAACCCTCCAGACTGATGTCTTTCGAAAAGCCACAAACACGGAAAAAGGCTCCACTACAACAGCAACCATCGCCTGTCGCATAAACGCAGCTGCGTCCGTACGCTTTTTCACCGCATAATCACACCCTACAACACAGAAGCCGAGAAGCTGCGGAAGCGTGAAACCCTATGGCACCTCTTCCTTGTCAATGGATACCCGCGCAGTTTTGTAAACAAATGCTTATATCAGACACATACAACGGCCGACCGTGAGAACGCGCAAAGACCCGAAATGTTCCGTGTTCTGCCTTACGTGAGAAACGTCTCCGAAGCCAATGAGGGCGTGCCAAGGCTACTAAGCATGCATTTCCCATTTAACCCGTCTTTGATGATGTGCTCGAGTAAGAGTACGAAACGTCAGATGATTAAATCTTCCTCCCCAGAGATCGACTTATCTTCTCTTTCCATCTCAACACCTGGGGTCGGCATTTTCGCTTATATCCATATCCTGACTTCATCCCGCATCAGTGACCAGCCGCCCGCATTCCCACTGATCGGCAATTCCCCCGGTCTTTCTCCACCTCCAACACAGGGAGCCCTAATGGTTCTTCCTTTCCTCTCCCTGTCCCCCAGCCTACCATAAGTCGGCGCCCACACCTCTCACGCATCAGCTCTCTGTTTATCGTTGTCTCTCCTGTCACGCCAGCCGACCTAGTCTGCCGAGCTCACCTTCCACTCTGTTCATTTCGTCTGACATCGAGTCGGTGTCAACTACTTGAAAATTTACGAGCACAACCCGATATTCCGAAGAGCCTTCTCTGTTTCATATATATATATATATATATTGTGTTAGGGGGCGCTCACCGATCGTTCATACGGAACTCACTCGTTCCGTTGTGCCTTATGGACTCTCCCTCGAGCCCAACCATTCTGCATATATATATATATATATATATATATATATATGTAGCTCAGAGGGGGTATGCATTCCAAGTTGATATAATGAAAAGTAGAAGAGGTTCTTCGGAAAAAGTCGAGTTGTACTCGTGAATTTTCGAGCTGGTGACACCAACCCGTCGTCAGACGAAATGAAAACGAGGGAGAAAGTTATGTTGTCACAGTAGACCAGTTGGTGTGATAGTACAGAACAGACCACTAACGTGTGAGGGGGGGGGGTGGGCTCCCGAGGTCATGGTAGGTCACTGAGTGAGGGGCGGGGAAAGGGAGAGGAGGCGGAACAATTACGGTACACCGTGCTGGAGGGGGAGGGCGAGTGGTGAATCAGTTGGAATGCGGGCGGCTGTATTCGCGGTCGTTGATGCGTGATTAAGGCAGGGGGCAGTCATTCGTGAACGTAGACCCTCGTAATGGGCATCTAAATCAACGTGGCGGTTGATACTACCCGCATCGGAGTACCAGGCCTCGAGAAATTCCCTCGCTCGCTTTGTGTTAGCCATGGCGACGACCTCAGTGCCATCCCAATTGAATCGTTGGTCGTACTCGAGTGCATGGGCAAAGATGAGGGACAGTGGGTCTCGCCGACGGATAGCTAATTTG